CTTGGAGGCTGCTCAAACGAAAGCTAATTGTTAAATATGCAGTAATTTTGTGAGCCAGGTGTTAAGCTGTTGGTAACTTGAAATCAGCCATGGTGGGAACATTTATACCACTGAAATTGGCAAATGTTATAAAACAGAGGTTTTCTTTTTTATTTTGATTTGTTTTTGGAGAGCTCATTTACAGGCATGCCATTGGATGCTAGCTAGCCCAAATATAAAATCTAACACGCTGAACTTTTAAGTCTTTTGTAAGAATCAGAAAAATTATAGGATTTTAAAAAGTTTCATTCTAATGTTCAAGATTATCTGGCCAGGCAAATAATAAGATTATGAATAAGCACACTAAGTGCTGTGTTCATTTGAATATTTAAACAAACACAAATAGACTGTCACGTTATAAAAATACATATTATGTGAATATGAAATCACAGTTGTCTGCTTTCCACACTGGTCCTTTGAAAGGTCCTGAAAAATTAAAGATGACTATCGTACACTAACTATCATCTACTAGTAAAATTTTAAGTGCAGAGAATGTAGGAAAATTTAAGTCATTATATGTAGTTTCCATTCCTGTTATGATTGAGGAAATCCTGGTCCCATAAAGCATAAAACAAAATCTGCAAAACCATGTTTTGAAAATAGTACATGAGCTCAGTTTATCTATTTAAATTTTAATCAAGAATTCTGTTTATTGTTTCTCTCTCCCTATTAGATCATAAGCCTTAAAAATCTCCTGATGTATAACAGGGATTCAATCAATGAAAAACAAAAAATATGGATGGACCCACAATCTTTTTAAACCAGATTTCAGTGGCTTCTTCTGATTCAATTAGTTGTTAACACTGTGCTTGCTAACATATGCCAAACTGGTGTACCTGAATTAATATGGGGAGTTAACATGGCTTACAGATTATCCTAACCAGTTTTTTGATGTAGACTCAATCAGAAGAAATGTAAACAGAACAGTCTGTAGAAACAAAGTGTAAAGAAACTGAGATCTATTTTGCAAAAAGTGAAGCATAGAAATATTAAAATAGTTCCTCCCAGACACTTTGATCAGAAATACTAAGTGCTGAGAATTAAATATGGCTTGTATAACAAGTCATTCACTAACTCGATATTCTGTTTATCATATATTCAAAGCACATACCACAAGACCAACTCCAAAATTGTGATCACAGTCTCATAATCATTGGTGACAAGGCACAGGCATCAGCTTAACACAAAGTATGCTAAAAGAGTAGCAGTGTTTAGAAGGATTCTGAAACCTTGTTTCACTATCACAGCTTTTTTTTTTTAAATTCAAGGGATTTTTTAAAAAAAAATGATAGAAAAAAGGAAAGTTTAATTTAAAAGTAAAAACAAATAGGTAAACAATAATTTAAACACATCAATAAGTTTGGTATCTCTTTTTGTGGATATTCATAAATTTTAATATAACTAAACAGATATTTTGGACTTTTTCGTAATGTGTTCTAATCTCTTGCTATGTATATCAAGTTTCTGATGTATTTGCTTTTCTGAAGCTGTGTTTTAAATTGATGAAAGTAGGGATATATTGGAAATACTAGCTGACTTTTAACTATAGAGATGCTAGCCTACATGACACTATAATCACATTAGATTGTATACACTATGGACTGAACGTTCATCTCCCCCAAATCATATTATGAAACATTAATCTCAAATGTGATGGTATCTGGAGATGTGGCCTCTGGAAGGTAATAATTCATGAAAGGAGAAACCTTCATGTTGGGATTAATGCTTTTATAAGAAGAGGCAGGAGAGCCTGCTTCTTCTCTTTCTCTTCACCATGTGAGGATACAATGGGAAGATAACCATCAGAAAGAGAACTCTCACCAGGAATGGGATCAGGAGGCACTTTGACCTTAAGTTTCTCAGCCTCTAGAACTGTGAGAAATAAATTTCTGTTGTTTAAGCCATCCAGTCTATGGTATATTGTTATAGCAGACCACCTGAATTCAGATAATATAATTCACAGCAAAGAGGGTTGTGTGAAACAGACCATTGTGACTTTCCCTAATTCATAGTGAATTTGTTAGGAAAAACCCCCATAAATTATAGTTATGGCATTTATTTCTAAATTTTAAATGTTAAATTCTCTGATCATTCATATCTTGGAAGGACAGTTTATCCTTAAATGGTAAATACAATATAAAAGATCCAGTGACTTCAATGAAAATATTCTGTGAGTAATTACCAAGAGTAATACAAATTTCAATTTCTGTTTTTATGCCAAACTAACAAGATTTTTTAAAATCCATAAATGTAAACAGAGAAAATATGTTTCTGTTTGAATAGTTCCTATATCCCACAAGTAGTATTTTATGACAAACGCTCAGTACATAATTTTGCCCACTGCTCATGAGATTCTAAGACATTGAACTTTGAAAGCATGCTTCATCAATAAGCACATTGAAAACAAATTGCCATTGAAATATAAATCAACAGAGATGTGAAATTTCTGTCCTTTTAATTAAGTATCATATAGCTAGTAATATATCGATAACTGTTCTTGAAAGAAGGGGTGAAACTTTAACATATGAACACCAAATTTTTCAATTAATTAAAAGATTTTTGTTATGGTATTTCCTGTGAATTATAATTTTAAAACTAATAATATTATTATACAATAGCACCTTTGCAAAAATAAACAAAACACAACTTGGCAACTAAGTTAAAAGTCTCTCACTCTGTACTCACTGAAATCAACTCTTTAAAAAATTTTTATCTTTATTTCATTATCATCTTCCAATGGAAATCTACTTCTATAGATTTGTAGGAAAATTTTATCAAAAGGAGTTCAAAATAAATATATTGTTTTCAAATGACTTTAGTCAAAATAACTATATGAAGGTAGACCCAATTTTCTTTAGCATAAAATGGTTTCTGCATATTTGGCAGGACTTAAATAACCATGTGATCTAATGTCAACTTTTATAAAACAGCACCCAATTAAGTTTGTAACTGTTCTGACTTTCTTTTTAAAAAAAGGTTGCATATGAAATAGACAAATCAGCAATAAACAAAAATAGTTATATTGCTTTAATACATTAACAATATTTCAATTATTAAAAGAGAAGATAATTATCCTTTCCATTTCCATCATTATCACCACCAACAACTAAATGCTAGTCATGAGCCCCATCCCCAAGTGCTTCTTTGCTCCAAATTCTTCACAAAGCTATCCAAAGTCCCATTCAACCAAAATGTAGCTGATTCAGTCTGAATAATGGTCATTAATAAAGTAAACAAATGTGCTTTTTTAGAAGAGCCTTAAATATGCCTCTATCGAGAGTATTTTTTCATCATTTCAAAGTAAGTGTGACAATTTGATAACTTTAAATCATGTTTTGCTTCATGATAGAGTTTCCCAATTTACTTAGTAGCCATCCAGCTTTAAAGTCACAGGAAAATTACTCCATCTTTTAAATAATTTTCATGGGTGACGTTTTTCTGAAAGACAATTTTGATTCCTGGTTTACATGCTAATCAAATACTCAAACAGAGCTCTGATTAGTAAGGATAGACTAATTTACAGAGGGCCATAATCTTTACAGAAAGCACACCACTACTTAGCCATGGAAATATTTATGGAGTGTAATAAAAAATTACCTATTTTTCTTTTCCTTTCCTATAAAAGTTATGTTATAAATTTTCTTCATTGTTTAGAAGTCTCCAAAACTGGAAGCTAATTTAAACTGGAACCAAAATGTCCAGACTCCTACATTCCCTCTGCCTTCATGTCTTTCACTCCTATGGGCATCTGTTACAATCATATCAATATTGCAAGGCCCAGCTCAAATCCATCAACTGTAATGCCATATGTAATCTCTGGTCCCTCTCTTCTCCAATCTAGATTTGATCTCTCCCTCCTCTAAATTCATGTAATACTTGGTGATTCTCTATGCTATCCATCACAGTCTGTGTTGTTGTGCAAGTTAAATGGGTACGTGTTGTTTGCGTTGAATTTAGTTTGTGAATCTTGGAAGTAAGGAACTATGCCTTATTTATTTCCCATATTGCCCTAGGCAACAAGTATGTATCAAGAGTATAATATTTGTTGAATAGATGAAGGAACAAAGAAACAAATCAATGGGTTGCTCTGATTAACTATACTCGTTTGATCTTATACACCCTTATATTATCTCCTCACCAGGCTTTTAAAATACATTAAAAATATATTAAAAAGCCTAGTTCATGTGATATGTGGGAGGACAGAAAGATCATGTGTCAGACTAATAAGAAACATGAAGAGGATTATACAAGATTACTTGTGTTTCATTACCCAATGGTCATGAAATTTTGAAAAATAGTATTCTAATGATATTAATGATAATGCCATAAATTATCCTAAGTATTTGTTTAATGTTTCACATTTTTCAAGCTATATTTTACTCACATTATCTCTGGACAGCCATTGAAATAAGTGGGAGAGATTATTACTATGACCTTTATTTTACAGTTGAGGAAATAAGTTCAGGCGGGTTAAATGTCATATCCAAGGTCATTCAGCTATTAAGTGACAGAATCAGCATTGAAATTCAGGTCTTTCTGACTACAAGTCCTGTATGGTATATATACTACCCCACAACTGCCTCATGAACACCAAAAAGACGTGGTGTTTACTTTGTTTCACCCCAGCAATGAGAATGGTTTTTGCACACTCTTCTAGTCTGTTATTAGGCAGGCACACCTCCCACACTGTGCTCAAGAATGCAAGACAGGAAGCTCGAATTAAAGGTCATATCTGTGGTCATGGAGTGAAAACAAACACACAAACAAATAACAACAACAACAACAAAAACAAAAGCCACCTTAGCAGGCCTAGTCAGAAATCAAACGTATCAATACTTTATGCTAAGCAACTGAGTCAATGAGCTGTGTGCTTGTACTGAAGATCCAGTGGTATTGCTAATATTTTCTCTAAATTTATATGTAATTAACACCTGTGTCCTTTTCTAAATTATGATTCTTACCTTTATAACAGAGGCCCCAGCTCTGGAGAGTGGACTGTGAATCTGGGCTGCAGCAGCCATGTTGGCAATAGTATTGAGATGGTTCATCTGATTCATTGCCATGGCAACTGATGCAGGAGGTAAGCTGACTGGAAGTAGGGGATGAGGCATCATCATAAATGGCAGATCCAGTCCTAAAAGAGACAGTGCATGTTAAACTATGCCATTAGTTACATCATTTGGACAAAGAGAAATCACATCAAAATTGATGCTATAAAATAGTAAAAAAAAAAAAGTATCTACATTCGCTCTTGTTGGCTTTTTTAAATGAAATTTTACTCTATCAATATCTCTTTGGGCAATTAATAGTACCTATGGGATTTAATACTGTTTTATAATTTTTAAAGTGTTCCTATATCCAGACTTGTAGTTATTGATACTCTTTGTTTTTGCTCTCACTCCCAAAATATTTGTAAGATTCAAACATTTTTTACCCATAAAAACAAACAAAAATCTTTAAGCTAAACATTATTTTGTTTAACAAAAAAAAGTAACTTTCTTTTTAATCATTATAATGTATTGATGTGTTGATTGTTTCTAGCTTAACTCTTTCTTTAGGAGACATTATAGTGGTGCTGGTAGGACAGGATGTAGATTCTCTAGACTACAGAATTATTAAAGAAAGGAAGAATTGGAATATGTCCTACTCCCTTAGTTATGAATCTCTAAAATGAATGCTGATAGCTCTAATTTGAAACCTTTGTCAAAAAGAACTAACTTGCCTGTCAAATCAAAATATCAACTTGTTTTCCAGTTTATTAACAAACACCAATATCACTGAATTGTGTCAAGAATTCTGTTTGTTTTCTTATGCAATGCAAAATATTTCACACATTTGAAATGTCTGAAAGAATATCTTTCAAGTGTTATCCACAGTACACTTCTGGTAGGCCCAAATATGTCATCAGGAAAAAGGTAACATATTAAAATAGCTGTCCACTTATCCTTTGTATGGTCAGCATTTGTGAGGAAACACCTTTGGGCAGAGGCTAGGGAAAGTTAGCCTAACATGATGGATGTTAACATGACTGCGATAAGTAAACCATAGCACTTTATAGTGTATTTTAAATTATTGTCTTGACAGTTATCTTGCCCTCTTTTGGACATGAGCCCAGAAATCAGTAATCCTTAACAGATGTTCTAAAACATGCTTGCATATAATTTTCCTAAATTATTACAGATTATAGAAATTTTACAATGGGCTATGTTTATGTTCATCTTACACATAAATATCAACTATTAATAACACTCCTTTTTCCTCTTTGCCACCCCCTGATTTTTCCTTGCTTCTCACAACAGCAAGTGTACAATGAATAACAGTGAATCTATAGGAAGTATATTCAGAAGCCCACTAAATCTCATTCCTGAAAACAACAGTAACAGTCATACAAATGCTCAAAACACATAATTTTTAGGACAAAAAAAGAGGCTAGAAGAAAGAAATTCTGTTAATTGTTTTGAGGTTCACCTCCTGAGTTCAACAATGATGAGTGAATTAAAGTCACTAACAAAAAAAATTCAAAGGCAGCACACTGCAATAAAACAAACTTCCAGATATGACAGGTCTCACACAACACCAGAGTGATTATCTCAATTAAAGAAACTCTGAAAGAAAGAATACAACAGTTACCAACGTTTTGGATAAATACAGCCACAAAATGCACTGTTATCAGAATTACACAAGGATTAAAGAAAGCTAGAAACTTAAAGTCTATGTGGAACCCAAGAAGGGAAACATATGCTGTACTCCCTATGACTCCAAATCCCCAGAGAATATTAATAAAATGTTTTAAACTTATCTCCTATCACATCACTTATTGCTTACTACCTCTGAATCCTTTTTAGGAGCAATCTACCGAACCAAACTTTTCAGTTGTGAAATCTTTTTCCAATGATTATTAATTTAAAGCCTCAACACAGTGTAAACACTGAATTCAAAATGGATTTTTTCATCCCTTTTAAACTAGAAGTTTATTTTCAGTTAGCCTTTCAAAATTACTTAGATGCATATACATTGTTATACTGTACCTATCATATAAGCTTTGTTATAATGCTGGGATACTCTATAACATAAATTAATCACTGTTTATCTTTCCCCTAAAACCTTGACTTTATGCTCAACGTAATAGCAACCATCAATAACCTAAATAGACTTCTACGTAAGGTTCTCATTTACCACAAACCCAAGATAATTATAGACTTAAAATTCTTCTTTGTGTACTCAGTGTTTTAATAGCAAACTTATCAAATCGTAGATGAAAAGTAGCCATCAGTGCCTCCCTTTGCTGCTCAAATGCTTAAACTTTTGTTCAATTCACACTTCCCTTAACAGTATAATAATCTTTCCTCATTCTCCAAAGGTTTTCAGCAACATCCAGACACCATCTGGCCACATCAAGTCATATGCCTACTTAAAGTCCAATTGACATGCAAACTAAATGCAAACCACAAACAGAATTTAACAGCCCATTGACAGTTTTAAAGTATAATTCATCAAACATTTCAAATAACCATGAAGGACTTCAAAGTCACAATTTCAGATCATGACCTACAATAACTAACTGACAATTCACTACAATACCCTAGAAATGAAGCTAATATTTATATTACAGGGGAGTTTAACAGTGACCTCACATGAGATGCACATGCAAAGCATATGCAAATACTGAATTATGTAAGTCAACCTTTCCCCAAAGCTGAAAACATTAAATTAAGAGCCATCAATAGTACACAACACTCCAGCAATCTGGCTCATTTAGTCACATGCCAGAAATGTACAGAGACTTTTAATAGTATGGTAATGAAGAAAAAAATCTTTATAAAAAATCACCAAGATGGGTTTTCTCTTTCCCATCAACTGCAAGGCATCATGCCAACTACCATAAGGACTATTTCTAATTCATCCTGGTATTGTGGCAACTTCTGTAACTTTTACAGAAATGCATAACACCACCTCCTCCCAGCCAGTAAGGCAACCAACTTCAATAATACTCTAATCCTCCCTCTAAAAACACATTCATTTGGTTTCCAAGTCATGTATTCCTCTGTAATATCTTGCATTTCTACAGTCAGGCACCAATCCTGTTATAATTACATGTGAACCTGTCTTCCTGATTGGTTTTCCTATGCCATTTAGTTTGCCTTTCCACTCCAATTTTAAGACTTTTTTCAGTGGTTACTTACGATCTCCAGACTCTTCAGATATCTCTGGAATCTACCACTCTAACCCTATTTATTTGGGTATAGTAAAAGTACTCCTCCTTTGTTTCTTACAGAAAAAAATGAACAGAAATTACAGAGAATTTCCATATACCTCCTCTCCACTAGCAGTTCCCTCTCTTATTAACATCATGTATATTGTGGTACATTTGCTCCAATGGATGAGTCAACATTGATACATTATTTTTACTACAGTCCATAGTGTATATTCTTTGTGTTGCAAATTCTGTGACTTTTCACAAATGCACAGTACCATGTATCTGCCATTAAAGCATTATACAGAATAGCTAGTTTCACTTCCTTAAACATTCCCTGTGCTCCATCTACTCCCTCCTCTTCTTACACTTGGCCTTTAATGTCTCTATAGATTTGCCTTTTCCTTAATGCCATCTAGATGGATTCAGACAGCATTTAGTCTTTTCAGACTGGCTTTGTTTCACTTACTGATATGCACTTAAAGTTCATTCATGTCTTCTCCAGGCTTCATAGCTCATTTGTTTTTATTGCTAACTATTATTCCATGGCATGGATATACCACAGTTTTGTTTACTCAGTCAGTTATTGAAAGACAGTGTGATTGCTTCCAACTTTTATCAATTATAAATAAATTTGCTATAAACATTGATGTATAGATATCTGTGTGGACATAAGTTTTCAATTCATTTGGATAAACAGGAAAGATGATGTTTAGCTTTGTGAGAAACTGCCAAATGCTTTCCAATGTGGCTGCCCCATATGGCATTCTGACCAGCAATGAATGAGAGTTCCTGTTGCTCCACATCAATACCAGCAATTAATATTGATGGACTTTGACCATCAACAGGTGACTGGATAAAGAAGATGTGGTATATTTATACAATGGAATACTACTCAGCCATAAAAACCGACAACATAATGCCATTTGCAGCAACATGAATGC